AACATTTCCCATCTGCTTTTCAATTTCCTTCTGTGGATCAGGATCGCTTTGTTTCCAGACCCCTTCCCCCTCCGTCGAGCAGAGCTGTGTATAATTATGCTGCACTTGAGTAGAAAACAGTCAAAACTCCAACTTCAGCCTTCAGAACATCCATTTTGTCATTCGGCATACACTTTCAAGCAAAGCCGATGTGCCGGTTACTTGTCAGGCAGCTGGGACAGAATGCCTGACTAACCGGCTCACCACGGGAGGAAAAGTTCAGGGTCGGGTCCACTGTGGCAGTGAAGACGAGGCGGGAGCTCCAGGTAGCTGGTCACATGGCATCCACGGGAGCGCAGAGAAGGGAATCTGGTGCCAGCTGGCTTCTAATTTTTATGTAGTCTGAGACGCGATCCGGGGGAATGGCACCACTCATGTATAGGATGGGTCTTCCCACCTGAATTAACCTATGTAAGTATTCGCTCACAGACGTGTCTAGGGGTTTCTTTCCATGGTGATTGTAAATCCCATCAAGTAGGTAGTCAAGATTAGCTAGCCGGGCTGTGGAATGAGGAAGTTACAGGGAACTTTCTGTGGTCCCTGGGCTGGAAGGAACGGGAGCCTTTGCTCCTGTGGCATGGAAACCCTTTGGAGCAAGAGTCCTCTGGAGCTCTGGGAGTTGGGAGCTTCTAGGCTGATAGATTTCTAGCTGTGCTGCCCTGCAGACAGGCCCCTCCCTTAGAGACAGTCCCCTCCCTGAGAGACAGACTCCTCCCCCAGAGACAGGCCCCTCCCCCGGAGACAGACCCCTCCCCCAAAAACAGGCCCCTCCTCCGGGTACAGATTCCCCCCTCCCCCAGAGACAAGCCCCTCCCCCGGAGACAGACCCCTCCCCCAGAAACAGGCCCCTCCTCCGGGTACAGACCCCCCCTCCCCCAGAGACAAGCTCCTCCCCTAGAGGCAGGTCCCTCCCCCGGAGACAGGCACTTTAGGTCTGTGTAGGTTTCCCTCTCCTTATTCGCCACCAATTGATCATAACAGCTGCAATCAAATCCACTTCACCTTAATAAAAATGAACCAGAGAGACTCATTCTATATATTCCAACAGCACTTGTCCAAGTGTTGATTATTGATCTGCAAACAGCCTGTGCTTTGGCCTGGTGTGTTAGCTTCATTTCCCCCACTTCAGATTTCAGTAACAGCCATGTTGCCTACTCCGGAATTGCCCTAGCAGAACGAGATGATAGTGGACAGGCCAGAAAATCTCTCCTGGGTCAACAATTCATCATGATGGAAATTGCAGAGGCTCAAGTATGTTCAGTGAGCAGCTAACAACCCATGCATTTCTCTCCAGTCAATCACACGCAGTGGGCTCACAGACTCTCATTGTTAAATTCAATTCCTTCAGTATGGCTGATAATTATGGTATTGAGCAATTGATTTTGCATAACCACGTGACCTAAGCTGATTTGGATGTGATTATTAAGAAAGGGGCATGGCTGTGGTTACAGCTTATTGGCACAGACCCTTAAAGAACTGCTAAGAAAGGGGACCTTCAAGATGTCTCATTCTTTCCAGGTGAAGCATTTTGCAGCTCCTTACGAGGTGAACAGCAGGTATCTGGCAGTACCAGAGCCATGGCTACCTTCACTGTTGTACTTTGAGTACATAAAGAGTTTGAGGCCAGCCTGAACTACGTGATGTCCTGTCTCATAAGCAAATTAAGTCAACTTAAAAATGAAGAGGGGATCAGACAAGCACGTTGGGAGATCAAGAAAGTGTCAGCTACAGGGTTTGGGGAGGGGAAGGGAGGTGTTGCATGAGATTTTAGAGGGATCAGAAGAAGCAGCTGTTTTTCTAAAAAATCTTTAATATGAATGGTCAAATTCATTGTAAAGTTTTAAGTAGGAGGAATAACAAAAATGGACTTGTATTTTGAAACGCCAAACTCGGGCTGTCTGCCAGGCATGGTGGAACACAACTTTAATCCCTGCACTTGGGAGGCAGAGGCAGGCAGATCTCTGAGTTTGGGGCCAGCCTGGTCTACAGAGCAAGTTCCATAGCTAAGGCTACACAGAAAAACCCTGTCTCAAAAAACAAAACAAACAAAAAAGTCTGACTGTCCCGTGACAATGGATTGTGGGGCAAGAGGTATGTCTAGGGATGCCACTCAAGAGTTCATCTTTTAAACAGTCCCTGAGAAAGATAGCTTTGACTTGAACCTGGGATTCAGGCCATTGCCCCTGCAAGTTTATTCTCCTCACCTAGGAGTCCTTTCTTACTCTATGGGTAACTGACCTGGAGGGAGAACCTAGGGAAAAACAGGCTCCTGGAAGGAGCCTGGGTGTTGGAGTCAGGTGTGAGATAACTCATGCCTTTGGATAACTAACTTTGGGAAGAAGGAGGATAGAAACAACAACAAAAATGTGAGCAGAGGATAAGGAAGTTAAGGGGAACAAGAAAATGTCACAGAAGAAAGCAGAAAACGAGCTGTCGTGTGGTTCGTGTACATGATCTTGCCAGGAAGGATTTCTGAGGACTGCTACCTAAGACCACCCCCATTCACTTCATGTATCAGCACTTTGTCATAAGTAAGAATTAGCTAATTGTCGGGGTTGTGAAAAAGATGAGTGTTTTCTTCCCATGAAAGCGCTGTATCGGCTCAGCTGTAGTGAGGTCTTATTAAAATATGAAAATTAGCAGCCCAGGGTCTCTGACAAGCATTGTTACACAAAGTAACAAGATGCCATCTCAGAACCGACCTGTTCTTGGTGATCACACGTGAAGGACCTGGTCTAGGAACTCTTGCAGATACTTAACCCTCAACTGAAGCCAATTATAAGTAGAGAATCTGAGTTTGCTGCTATCTCATGGCTTATTTTCATATCTTTCCTCTTAATTATTCTCTTTATCTGTCTTCCTGTATTGGGGGGTATAGTTCAGAATGTCAGCCAAATGCCTTCTAGTGAGGAATAAACACAAATGCGTTTTTTACCTGAATTATCTATGTAGAAACTGGGAAAAACTTACATTTATGGAGGAAGTACTTGATGGAAAGAGAAAGACCGAGACCTGATTTGAACTCTGGGTCTGAACTCCCCCTGCCATCTTGTCAGTGGGCACACCCCAGCTTTGCCATCTGAGGACGTGAGGTGGGCTCACCTCCTGCAGAGCCACCATGAGCAATAGATGTGACACATGAAAGCATGTGTGTATGTGTGTGACAGGGGAAGTGGAAGTAACCAGGGCAACAAAAGGGACAGGAAGGGCATGGGAGGGGCTATATGAAGCGCATGCTCAATGTAAGTCTATACTTGAATGAGTTTAAATAATTAAATAATAAATAATAAAGTGCCTTCGGCCCAGCAAACACTCCTTTTCTTCTCTCTTGCTTTTTGTGGTTGGTCTGCATGTTCAGTGCAACACTCTTGGACTGAAGTCTAATCCTTATGTACTGAGACCCGAATGCTCCACGGCTCTTCTAGCTCTCGTCACCTCCCTGATGTCCACAAAACCCTGTGGACATCCGTCGGTGGGACTAGCTGTTCAAGCTGGGAACTCCCTGACTACGGTCTGGAGCTGCCAGGCTGGTGAAGGGCGGTGTAATATGCAAATAATCATACCTCTTAAGCTCTCTTACATACCTCATCTTGACTTCTGTGCTTCACTTTTGACCTTTGTGGATGGAATAGGTAATGAATGGCTTCTCCGGGTGACAAGTAGCAACGCACCAAGAGCTACGTCAGCGTCAGCGTCACTGGCTGTGCTGAGCTGTCTTGCCCCTCCTCCCTGATAGTACTGAGGAAGGAAGGTACGCTTCCAGTCACAGGTAAAGGGGAGGATCACCAGGGGTGTGCACAGCTGTTGCTGACTCAACTAGTTACGGGATTGTCTAGAAGTGGAGTCAGAAATAGCTTAACCCCTGTGGACGGTAGAATGAGAATCCCGCACAGGCTGGGGCGTTTGAACACTTGGTCTCCAGCAGCTGGTGCTGCTTGGAAGTCACAGAGCCGTTAGGAAGCTTGCTGATATATGCCGCTGTGTGCACGTGCACGCGTGTGTGCATGTGTGTGCCTATATGTGTGCGTGTGCGCACGCACGCATGTACATGGTTTTGAGGTTTCTTGGTCCGGCCCCCACTTCTATTCCTGCTCTGCTTCCTCGGCAGGTGGGCCTCCTGCTCCTGATGCTTGTCTTCCTGGCCACGCAGAACTCTACCCTGCCTAGAACTGTGAGCCAAAAGGAGTATTTTCCCCCTTAAGTCGCTTTGTCATAGTGTTTATACAGCGGCAGAAACGAAACTAAGACAGTCGACAAATCCTTGCAAGCCTTTGTCTGACTTCCAGACACAGAAAATGTTCGGAAAGTGTTAGTTGTGAAATGTCCAGGTCTTTTTTCTTTCCTGTTTGGTGTTGTTTTTATGATGGAGTGAACTTCAGACTCCCTTATCCTGTCACTGCTGTTAACACTTCCCAGCTGTGTAGTTATCTGATTGCTGATCCCAGGCCGCTCTGGTTGTACGGTCCCTCACTAACACACACACACACACACACACACACACACACACACACACACACACACACAAACACACACACAAACACACACACACACACACACACACACACGAGGTCACTCTGGTTGTATGGTCCCTCACTAACACACACACACACACACACACACACACACACACACACACACACACACACGAGGCCGCTCTGGTTCTATGGTCCCTAGATCAGCACTTTCTCTCATCTCACACCTTCCTTCTGCATGGATGCATTTTAATTTTGCTAGAGTGTTTTCTGGTAGATGTGGTCCTGGGAGGTATGCTTTTGAAATCTCTGCATGTCAAAAATGACCCCATATTTCTTTCCTTTTCTTTGGCCTGGCCAAAAAGAAAAAAAAAAAACTACCTTTAAAATAGATACGGCTTGAGGAGTTCCCCTAATTCTTTCCTGAATCTTGTATTTTATGTAATTTTATTAATAGCCATGTATTGACAATCTGTTTCACCTCCTTAGAAGCATTTAGAATTTTTGTTTATTTCAGAACTCAGGAATGCATATATTACACAAAGCAAACCCAATTGTATTAATAGGAAGAGAATGGAGACATTCATTTTAAAATCCAGCACTAAGAAGAAAAGTCATGGACGGCAGATACCCCTCCCAGTTCATTCCCCATGCCTTGGGCTTGCCTTGATTACTGTTATTTCCACTGTATCATCTCGAACTTCCTCAGACAGCTTTGTCTAAGGTTGTGAGATGTGAAGCCTCGGGGTGTAAGCCTGTGCTGCTCGTTAGCAGACGTTTCTGCTCTCCACAGAAACTGGCTCAAAGTTTTATTTTCTTCATAAATAACTCTGCTTGTCAGACAGTCATAGATTTTCATAATTCAGTATACAAATGTTCTGAAATTGGATATCAATTTATAGTTAGGTCATGAAGTTCCAAAGTGAGGATGACATAGACTTACTGGAAAATGTCGTTGTCTGTACAAGTTCACTCAGGCTTTCAGTGGGCACCGGTGAGGGAAGTTAGCACTGATAACAGGTCAAAAGGAGCATTCTGGTGATCCTTTACACTGTGTAAACTGTTCTCAGATTATGTAATCATCCAAACTGCAGATATCTTCTGGAGGGCCACAGCTGATAACAACCAGTCAAAGGAGCATCTCCCCCGCTTCTCTCTCTCTCTCTCTCTCTCTCTCTCTCTCTCTCTCTCTCTCTCTCTCTCTCTCTCTCTCTCTGTGTGTGTGTGTTACATGTCACTGTTCCTTGGGAGCTGTGAACCATGCCTACTCACTCTAGCTATGGAGCTGAGGCTGAACAAAAATACAGATGCCACCAAAATCTAAACTGGTGAACCAGTGATTTCTATTGGAGTTACTTATGGGAGTGTGGGTGAGAAGCTACTTACAGAAATAGAAATGACTCAAAGACAGCTGCGTCATCAAAGGTCACCCCAGCATAGGTGACAGCTAAAAAATAAAAAAATGAACTAGACGCCTGGATCACACTGCACAACCTGTAGGCAGCTCAACATGTTGGAGAGCGTGCTTTCCAGGAAGCTCGGTTGTTCTGAGGCCCTTCTAGGCAGTTTGTCTGGTGTCTGCTTCTTTCAGAAAGCTCAGCTTGTCTGAGAGTGTCTCTCAGGAGTCCTTGCTGCTTATAAATACTTGGGGAAGGGAATTATGAATCTGGTTGGTTTCAGGGACTTCCTGAAGCCACGGAGTAGTTAACTCCCTGAGCTTAACAAGCTTCCCTACAGAACAGGTTGTTGCGCCACTCCTTAGAAGACCTGTCATTTCCTCTTCCTTCCTTAGAACACCTGTCATTTCCTCTTCCTTCCTTAGAACACCTGTCATTTCCTCTTCCTTCCTTAGAAGACCTGTCATTTCCTCTTCCTTCCTTAGAACACCTGTCATTTCCTCTTCCTTCCTTAGAACATCTGTCATTTCCTCTTCCTTCCTTAGAACACCTGTCATTTCCTCTTCCTTCCTTAGAACATCCAGTTTTTTTCACCTCCCCTTAGCATCTTAAAGAGATTCCCTCAAAACTGGAAGGTTTTCATCTTAGAGGAAACTGCTACACCATGGTGGTTTAAGTTAGTGTGCCTGCTGTCACGCAGCACAAAAAAAACCAGCCATTCTCTTTCCAAACACTCAGAAGAAAACAGGGATGCTTCTGTCAGAGCGCAAGCTTCTCAAGCTTCTCCTTCTCCTCTGGTCAATGTCATGCATGTCAGACCTGACACAGGAGCTGTGAGGGGAGAACTCGGCATCCTTTGGAATTTTAATGCCTATGAGTCATTCAATTCACATTGCGATCAGCAAGACTTATCAATGCCCTCTCTGTGGCTGCAACACAACCTGCTTTCGGTGAACAGTCTTTATTAGGGACATGCTTTGCACAGCTGTGAACACAGAGGAAAGTTCATCTAGTGCAGAGGAGAAACGTAAAAAGGAGGTTGGAAGAGTAGACTAGAGCATGAGAGGATGCACGGTTACAAATCAGTATTGGGAAAGAGGATAGATTGCCCCAAATCTGTGGTGTGCACAAGTTGCTTCACCAAACATCTGTAGCTTGTGTGTGTCCAGCTCCATGAGGAGAGTTTGACTGAGTTACTTTGTGTAGGAAGTGACATGCAGTCAGTGCCCACAGATGCTGGTGAGTGGGACCCAGTGGAGCCCAGGCCCCACGGCTGCTTGTGCTCAATCATTTCTGACCTCTGCTGCGCTGACTCTTCAAAATGAGGATGGCAGGAAGTGACAGTAGCCAGGCTATTAGATTCTCAAGCAAGGGTTTTAAGGGTACACATGAAGGTTTTGTGGAAAGAAGATGAACAACCGAGGTATAAAATAGAGAAACACACCTGCACCCAGTGATGGAGTCCAAATGGGAGGGAAGTTCTTAACCATCTAAGAACACACTGTGATGAGCTAGGCAAGGAGTCCATGCATCCTGCATCCCTCATCACAGATGCCTCTGTGCAGTCAGAGTGTGCTCCTCCCACAGAAAAACAGTGCCTGGTGGTGCAGTGTCCGAAGCTGTGTCTTCAGTCAAGCTAGTGCTGAAGAAAACCTGGGTGAGCAGGTCCAGGGAGATTTCCACTTGATGGAAGAAGTACTCACACAGGACCACAAAACACTGTCTTGGGAGAAACACTATAGGAGAGTGGAGATGATTAGCACCCACAAGTGCCATGTGGTGACATTTATTTATAGGTATTTATTATGTATATATGTTCATGTGCAAGCAGTTGTATATGCATGTGCAGGTGTGTGTATGTATGTGCGTGTATGTGTGTGTGTATGTATAGGGGTGTGTGTATGTGTAGGGGTGTGTGTATGTGTTTGTGTATGTGTAGGGGTGTGTGTATGTGTGTGTGTATGTGTATGTGTGTGTGTATGTGTGTATGTATGTGTGTGTATGTGTGTATGTGTGTGTGTATGTGTGTATGTATGTGTGTGTATGTGTGTATGTGTGTGTGTATGTGTGTGTGTATGTGTATGTGTGTGTGTATGTGTAGGGGTGTGTGTATGTGTGTATGTATGTGTGTGTGTATGTGTGTGTGTGTGTGTATGTGTGTGTGTGTATGTGTGTATGTGTGTGTGGGCCAGAGGACAGCATCAGCTGTCCTGGTTTTAGTTGTTGCTGGATGGACTGATCAATTAAGACAAGATGTCACTGATCTGGAACTTACCCAGTAGGCTAGATCGGCGCCCAGCAAGCTCCAGGGATCCACCTGTCTCTGCCTCCCCTGAATGGGGACTACAAAAGCACACCACCATCCCGGCTTACTTTACCTGGGTTTGAGGACCAAACTCAGGGCCTAACATTAAAAAATGAGCCATCCCCCAGCCCTGGTTATGTTTAAATTGCTACTTTTGTGCATTGCTATAACAACCATAAACATCTATAATCCTCCTGAAAGCAATAAGGCAACTCAAGGCAAGAACAGCAGAGATGGTCCTAGGCTTTAACTCAGGATTATCACCCTGAGGAATGTATCCTAAGAAAAATAATTTCACAGAAGCAGGAGATCTATATGCAGGAAAGTGTTCATTAGAGCAGCTTTTCAATATCAACAACAAAAGTCACAGGGAAACAATGTATGTATAACAGTTATGAAACTGTTTAGTAAATTATGGAACATTCAGTTTGTGGAATATTATTCAGCCATTAAAATTATAATTATGAAAATCACAAAAGATAAAGGAAAATGTTTACACTACAATGTTAAAAGGAAACTGGAATTAAAATATTATGTACATTACGATCACATCTGTTTAAAGATGTGCATGTGAGTAGAAAGAAAATGTGCAGAGCTTTACATTGTTATGTTTGCTTGGAAGGCTTTTGGTGAGCTTTTCCTTTTTCAAATTGTGCTTAGTAAATCATAGCTATATTCTTAGCAAAATACACTGGAAACAGAATTGGTCAAAGGAGATAAAAACATTCGACAGTGGGGTCAGGACAGCACAGGTGGAAAGGCCCCTGTTTTATTTAGTCTCATAATGGCGTGATGAAACTCATTATCTGTCGTCTACTGTGGGAAGGAGACTGTTGCTGATTTGACGCTATCTATGGCCTCGGTTATCCGGCTATAGCCTTGACGCTATCTATGGCCTCGGTTATCTGGCTACAGTCCTTCTTAACTGAGGTCTTCTGAGATATGGAGTATTTAGAAGCTGAGTTGTGTGATATTTTCTCTTTGCTCTTTTTAAAAATAGTTTAACAAAATTGTGTGTGTGTGTGTGTGTGCATGTGTATGTATGCGTGTGTGTGTGTGTGTGTGTGTGTGTGTGTGTGTGTGTGTGTGTGCCTAATTTTACCTGGTTATGAATTTATGTGCTTGGAACTACATACAGGTACTCTCTGGTAACTTGATTTTTCAATAAGATTACGTTCTTAAGCCTCATTCCCTTGATGTGTGTATCTATAGCTTGTTTATTTGCACCTCTAAATAGTTTGTGAAAGCAATATTTGATTATATTAATATACAACAAACTTATTTATTCAATTGCATGTTGATTGGCATTTGTGTTTCTAGTTTTTCGAATTCTTAGCAGTTCTGTCTGAAGCAAATTTGAATATGTCTCAATGTATGCACAGAAGAATTTCTCTAGGTTGCATTCTGGAGACACATCAAACATACATTTTGGCAGGATTTTAAATTCAGTATGCAGCTGGAAGTTGTACTCCCACACAAATGGCATTACAAAACAATCAGTCCTGTTCTGTACTAATAAAATCTGGAATTTTCCACTAAAATATAAAGTAATGATCACAACTGAACTATTAAAATTTAAGTGATCACATTTCAAGCAATTAAAATGGCAGCATTTTGCAGAACTGTTGGCTCTCTTCAGTCATTTGGTGGCACTGTGGCTGCCATATTGCATTATTACAAGAGGTGCTTTGAGTGAGGCTCAGGTGACCCCTGCTGCTGGTACCACAGGGAAGCTACTGTATTCTGTAACAGGAATGCCCTCGCCCACTGTTCCTCCTCCCTTTCTGTCTAGTGGTCCTGGGCTCTGTAATGACCATGCAAACTCAATTACTGGTCATCTCAGTACTCAGTTTCACCAAGCATTCATGAAGACGGCCCTTGCTCCTTCTTTCATTCTGGGTCTCACTGAGTCTGGTCATGGCAGTCCATATGATTTGGAACTCCCCCTCAGAGCCTGATGAGCTCGCCTGCAGGTGAAGACAATGACTGCCTTCCCCCAGCATGCACAAACTATGCAAGAAACAAGAAGAAGGATGAATGTACCGAGACTTACCTTATAAGTCTAGGCTAATCTTCACACTAAGGATGGCGAAGGACTGTTCAGGAAAGGAACACACAAGGAGCAAAGAACCATAAAGGCTGCATATAGCAGAATATAATGACAGTGCTCTCACAGCTAGCCTGGTTGACCCAAGAATTCCAGGTAGGTTTGACGTTAGAAAAATTAGTGTAATTTTCACTCCAGATTAAACAGAAAAATCTGCATGATTATTTCTACAAATGGATACAAATTTTTAACTTTTATTCTTTATTTCAATTCTTAGCCATAAAGAAATGAAATTATGTTATTTGTAGGAACATGAAATGGAGTCCACTGTGTTAAATGAAATAAGCCAGTCTCACAAAAACAGGGTTCCTGTGCTTTTTTTCTCACAATGTAATATATATGTGGGGGAAAACAAAAAGTAAATAAAAGGGAGATTATTAGAGATGTGTGAGAAAAACGTAGAGGCCGAAGGGAGCATAAGGAGGAGCAGAGAGGGAGTGTGACCAAAATATTAAATATATCTATAGAAACATCATAATGAAGCATCTTAATTTCTAGAATTAAAAGTTTTAAAGTATTCAAGCAAATGAGGGACATCTCTTAACCCATAAAGTATTTACGAAAACTAATGTCAAGTACTTAAATAAAAACAGATTTGGTGATTCCTCCCTCTATAATCCTAGCATTTGAGATACTGGCACAGCAGCCCGGGCTACAGAGAGAACCAGATTTAAAAAAATAAAGAGAAACTACAATAAACAGATAATAATTTTACCAGATGCTGTGTTGAGAGTGGCATGTTACAAACTTGGAAATCAGCAGTATGGAACAGGCTCCCATTTTTCCATCTCTCAGCACCTGGAGACCTCAGCTCTTGCCATCAGGCAGGAAAGGGAAGTGAAGGGATTAGAAGGAAACGTGACCGTCCCTTCTCCCGTGGGGAGCTGAGCACTCTCAGAATTCATAAGGTCCCTTGATTCTATAATTTCTTATCAGTTGTTAAAGCTCATCACTGTCAGCTAAGTTCTGAAAGAGTTAAGAGTTGCCCCCATGCTCGGAGGGCTCTACCTGCAATGGGGGACATGTCAGTGTCCCGGTCACTGTAGGTTCTGACACATCCTCTCCCCCTCTTTATTACTGGACCTGTGGCAGAGAATAGAGTCATTATAGTAATAACACACAGAACAAATTTCATCTACTTGTTCATGATCATTTTGTAAATCACTTGGTTAATGTTTTATAAATAAATATACTTTGATTTTTCTTCCCTTAATGGTTATTAATATTTATTTTATGCTCTGTTGCTCTGTTTATGTATCTTTTTATGCTCAATAACTTTACCTCAAAACCTTATAATAGTATAATTGTTACAAAAGACTTTTTAATCAATAGTTACACTTGGCACATATAGCTTCGGCCAAAGAAACTGATAATTACAAACGATATTCTAGGATTCATTTCAGTGTCAAATACATTAAAGTGTGGAACATGTGGAAGGATTCTCTGAACAGCTTAAAGCAAGTTTTTGGGTGTAAAAATTAGGTCTCAAAGTTTTGGGTATCTCCCTAGGTACAATGCTTGTGATGTCAGCAAAATCTGGGATGTAGCCCCACAAGAAAGCTGAGTGTGGTGGCACACAATGCACCTGCAATCCCACCACTAGATAAACAGATGCAGGTGGATCCTTGGGGACTCACTGGCCAGCCAGCCCACCCTAATCAGTGAACTCCAGGCCAGTGAGAGACCCTGTCTCAAAACACAAGGTGGACAGTTCTTGAGGAATGACACTCAAGCCCATCTTTTGGCCTTCACAAGCACTCACAACAATACACTCATATTCCTACACACAAATGTGTACACACATACACACACAAGAGAGAAAAAAGACTGTATTTCGTTATCAACATTAGTCAGAGCATCATGGGATGCAGTCACGGGTTTTCTGCCCTATTTAATACAATATAAAATGGGTGACAAAGACCACCAAGTTCTCCCCACTTCCCTCTCTCCTCTGGGCCCTTTGCCACCACCTTCCGCCAGCATGCACACTGGACACCAAACACCTTCTGTCCCTCCAGGCATTTCTCACGTTGCTTCTGTAACATCTGAGGAACACAATTCTTTCTATGGCTTCCTGCTTTTCTCCAATATTGACTGCAGAGTGGACCACTCTAGACAAAGTGTTTCTTCTAACAGAAAAATTATTTTAGAATTGTCTAAGCTGTCAAATCTTTCATATTTTATAAATGTGCACTTTTTTCTTTTAAGAAACGAGGACACGAGGGTGATCGAAGCCATTCACTGTGTCTGTTTTGTACAGCACAGGGATCCGTTGTCAGACTCATGGCTTGTGCTCCTCATGGGGTCCTATCTAAAACCAGAGATTAGACCAAGGTCTGCCACTCAGGGTGGGTTGCTTAAATACACCCCAGGAGTTGGAGTTCTCTCAAACACCCATGAAAGTTTGCAACGTACCAAGCACTCTAGAGTGAGGAGTCTGATGTGCATTTTCTTCAGTTGTGTCAATCCTCTCTGACATCCCAAGCCTGAAGAGAATGTGAGCAGAAAGCTTATCCATGCCTCTAACTACTTTATACCAAATCCTTTCCGGAAACTTCCAGGGGATAGTAGCTAATCTTATTCACTGAACAGAGTCTAATGACAGCCGCTCTCTGATCCACAAATCTTTCAGCTGCTGCTTTTTCAGTAGCAGACCATTTTCTGAAATATGTTGCCATCAAGAGATCAGCTGCCTAACGAGACAGGTAGGAAGCCTGTTTTCAGAGAGGCAGGCACTTATCTTTTCAGTCTCCCACCGGAGATTTCCCCAGCCATCTGGTCCCAGTCTCCCTGGGTGGGTCCTTTGACTTCATCAGGTAATGCGGCTCTCTTTGTTAATCACACAATATGGCTTTCTTATCGACCCTACCTACCCTGTGCTTTCTCTTTTCCCATCTTGGCTATTGTGTTATGGGGAGATGAGCAAAAGAAGATGTATTTACTGTGTTGCCTTGAAAGAGAATAGTTGTCAAAATAACAGCACTCTGTACCCTTTCTGAACTATTTCACTGACAACAGCAAATGATTGTTCTTGCTAAGGTTGCAAAGCTGATTTGAGCAAGGCAGACAAGAAACATTATTTAGCTCTCGTCAGCAGCCATCAAATTATATCTGAAGTCTTGCTATCAAATTTGAATTATCAAAATGTAAAAGAAATACTCAGACACTTTTTATAAGTTTTTTTTTTTTGATGTGATAGAGATTGGGAAATGGGACATTTTGATACTTGGGGTATGGCACATGTAATATGTTTGTCCGTTTTCTTCTTTATAGGAAAGTTGTGGGTTTTGATAAACTCTAAGTCACTGTCAGGTCACCTCAGCAATTGTCCCCTTTGTCTTTTGTAGACAGCTCACTGGGAAGGAAGGCTGACAGTGGAGAAATGATTTCCTGGGTCAGTCTTACCTTGTGGCAAATGGTTTTCTCTACCTGTCTGCCCATGGAAACATCTAGATTTGAAAGTTGTCTGTCAGCTGCTGTTTTATAGATGTGGCTAACTCCTTTCACTGTTTGGAGCAGTGCTTCCATGACAGATACGCTGAGGAGACACTGGGGGCGATTTCTGGACTCAGCTGTGGTGAGCTATGAGTCTGCATTAGTTATTATCTCCTGTGGCTTCAGATGCCTCATCTGTATGGTGGGACTGACAGGATCAATGGAGAAAAATGTGTCTAATCACATAGTCCAGACACAGAAAGACAGCAAACACTCAATAAATTTAGTGACTATTTTTAATAACATGAGAATAATGATGTGTATGCAAGAATATAAGGGAAGAGGATGATGATGATGATGATGATGATGAGGAGGAGGAGGAGGAGGAGGAGGAGGAGGACTAGTACATTTGAAGCCATGAACCATGTTAGGGAAAGTCTTCTATAGTTCTCACCAAAAAAGAGAAAAGGGGATCTGCTTTAAAATAGAGAGGATTTCCCAAAGAACACAGAGCTAAGATGAGTTGGACAAAATTACACTGCTAATCCACTGACTGTAAGTTATTTTCATCTTCAGAGGGAAATAAAAGTTAATTCAATGAGTGGTGAGGAAATGAAACAACCTTGAAAGTTCCTATTAACTGACAAGGGGGTGATTAGAAAACTCCTTTAAAATGGCTTGGGAACTAGATCAAAGCCTTGGGTAGTGCTTGAATACTGAAGGACACTAAAGGTCTTCAAGGCTGGGGTCGGTGGTGCCGCTGGTCTGGCCCACACCCTGGCACTGGGAGAAAGGGAAAGAGAAAGGAGTAGGAGGCACTTTGGTCTGTAAAGTGCTCACCTTGCAGTCACAAGGACCTGGGTTTGAGCTCTAGTACCCACATAAAGCAACACACAAACCTGGGCATAGTGACACACACTTGTCATCCCAGTGCTGGAGAAGCAGAGACAAGCAGGTCCCCATGGCTTCCTGGCCAACAGCTTAGTCTACTTGGCAAGTCAGAGGTTATCTCACAAAAATAAAAGTGGGTGGTGAGGAAGACTATCCAAAGTTGTCTTCCAGCCTCTACACACATGAGCACACATGTTCATGTGCACACACACACACACACACACACACACACACACACACACACACATACAAGCTAAGGAACAAGAGGGAGGGAGGGAGATGGGGGATGAACAGGGGAAGAGGGAGAGGAAGAGGGAGAAGATTGGGAGAAGAGAGCACATAGGAGGCAGAGGTATCCACCCCCAAGCCTGATGACCTGCTTTCAGTCCCTGAAATCAACATTGTGTATAGGGAAAACGGTTCTTGCAAATTGTCATCACACACACACACACACACACACACACACACACACACACACACACATGCCTTGGTTCCCCCTCCCACCTCCATCCACATACCCTCCTAAAGCAGTTCAGTCCACTGCAGCAGATGAGGTGACCGGGACTGCAGGAAGAGACACACCTAGAGATGAGGAGCCATAAACAGGAGGCTCTCATTTATGATCATGAGTGCCACAGGCCACCACACCATCACCATTGCTGATGGAGTTCTCATTTGATGAAAAAGCCACACAAATTTAAAAGCTCAAAGACAAATCAGTGTTCCTGAAGAAAGCGTTAAATCTCAAGCGTTAATTTCTTAGTGGAATCTTTACTCTGTCGTCTTGTCATAACCGAATCATGGCACTGGCCTGAGAAAGCATGCTCAGACTCACGGGAGGCCCCAGACGGGATCATTTCTTCAGATTTCTATGTAAAGCACCCACCAACTTGTGAGAACCAGTATGTTTCAGGACATTGTACAAAAGGACGGGGCGAGGTGGGGGAACAGTTGGATTTCTGAACAAATAAAATAAATGAAGATCTGTTTCACAGGGTTCCCACTAACATTGAGAAATACTTTGAGCAACAGCCATGGCCACTGGGGTGCTGTAATGACATGCCCCATTATAAAATGTAACACTAAAAAAAACGGAGGAGTGGAAATTTAACAATTGAACATTTAATGGCTGCAATTATGGCAAAAGAATAATGAACCTATTAGACAGGAGAGCTGGCAATTACTCTGCAGCTTATTGGAATACAGCTGTGAGAAAGTAATACAGCCGCACACTTAAGAATGGTTATTAAAAGGGGATAATGCATTCTGTTTACACCGACAGAAGCAATTTTTCTTCTGAAATGAAATGGCACTTTTTGGCTATCAGACATATGAACTCAGATATGATGAATCCCACTATTTAAAGGTAATGCATTTTCAGATCTGCCGTTCTAGCTATAAATGATGTCTCCATAAGACCATAAGGGTGAGATCATTTTAGTGGAAGAAATGGAAGAAGATGTCAAAAACGGACTTATAAACACTAAATAAATCACCTGGAGAAAGGCAGGCTAAATTTAACTGATTCAAATGCCTGGGATAAATAAAGCCTCTACAAGTTCAACAACAGGACCTGTCAAGAGGTGTTCTGAACACTGGAGCCCTCTATGACATCACTGTTTTAGTGTTCAGGAATGATGGGTGTGTCCCATTAAACCTTCAAATGGAAATACTTGTAAGCACAATTTATGTGGCCAAATTCACCTGTAGAAACATCCTTACACCTGTAGCTATCAGAACCCAGAGAGTCAGACAGACAGACTGGGGGCTGTCTGGAAATGATCATCCAGCCAGTGTCCAGCAGAGTCCTGGAGGACCCCACTGAAGGGTGGGAAAGGACTCTACCAACAGTCTAGACAGATGGAGGCAGAATCTCGTCAAGACCTTGACACCTGCCAGATTGGTTTCAAAGAATATACATTCTTAATGTGATGTCAATTTCTGGCCATTTTCAAGGTAAATTGGCAGAACATAAAAGTCTAAATATTCAGAATGCTTGAAGTTCATAGTCTATGAGAGGTCATCGGCCCACTTCTCTACTCCTGCAGGACCGACTCCAGCCATCCACTGCAGAGGGAGAGGGCTTCATTTTGAGTCTTTATACAAGGAAAGCCTATGATTTAGGGAAATGTCATGATTAGGGACAATCTTCTCTGTGAGAAAACTCTAGTGCTGTCGCCTTTCCTTCCACTGTCCAGCCGTCTTATGAGGTGTAATTAAAGTATTGTGACTGATGAGGCTTTGAACCTCAATATGCCTGGAGAAGTCTGGTGAACAAATGTCCTGCTGCTCCTGCCTGCTTTTGGCAGCAAGTCAGTCACTATGCAGAGCAGCAGATCTTAACCTTCCTAATGCTGTGACCCTTTAATACAGTTCCTCATGCTAGAGTGACTCCCAACCGTAAGATTGTTTTCGTTGCTACTTTGTATCTGTAATTTTGCTACTGTTACGAATCATAATGTAAATATCTGATGTGCAGGATTTCTGCTAGGTAACCCCAAAGAGGTGGAGAACCAGTGCTCTAGAACTTTAAGTAAGTTGTTCTCGTGGATCCTGGATATCTAGTGAAGGTGGGAAGGGACTTTGGGATATTATCTTCTGTTTAGTTCAGGCCATTTTTATGTCTAACTTATGTAACAAGAGCAAAGTCAATTATCTTCAAACCCAGAAGGAAGCTGCTTGGAGACAGGGACTAAACAGAAGGCCATAAAATAAGAAGACACTTTTGTAGTTTGGAGGGAACTATGGAGTCTCTTAATTGTCACCCCCAACATACATACTATTCCAATGAACTGTCTGTATCTAGCAGAAAGTCTGCATTTCTAGACTGAGATTCTTAGAGGAGGCTAGTATTAGCTTTTATGGCCTTTATCTGAATAAAGTTTATGTAACTGTCAATTCTCAAGCATTTCATTTAATAAGGTCAGTCGAAATGGGGAAATTGAATTCATTTGGTTAAAAATGACTGCAAATAAGTAATTACCCTAGCTTTCCTACCAAGACAGTCTCCAGATGGTTTGGACTCCTCCTCTCTCTCATCTCATGCTTACGCTGGTGGCCAGAGAAATAGTAAAGGACACTCAGCAGGTGGGCAAAGAGGGGCTTGCACAGGAACAGCTCTTAGGCAGGAAAGCTTGACTCAGTCTTGAGAGGGGGAGGGGATTGGAAAATGGCTTGTCCACTGTTTTCTATCAACTCTGGTCTGACTGCTAACCCAACCTTCTCTCCATCAAGTTCAAAATGACAGACAGTAATGAGAACTCAGTCCTCCAGAGGAGGTAATAAAAGTGGGTGGTGATTGCTCATCCCTGGGTGGAGTTTCCAGGTGTGTTTGTCCCAGGGTTGCCTCCCAGGGCTGCCTCCCAGGGCTGCCTCCCACCTGCTGGGTTGGGTGGTTACCCCACTACTGCACACACTCTTCCTCTAGGTTTCTTTGGGAACTTTGGTCCACTCAACATGGAAATACAATGTATCTCTTCTACTTCCTGATCCAGTTCGCTTTTAGACTCTGATCCCTTGAAACAGCCTCTCATGTGTCTTCCAGGGACTCTTCTCTTGCTTAGCAGTTGTCCCAGCAATCTCCTGCCCCATCTGAAATTCTTGCAGCTCAGCATCCTGGTGGCAGGAGGGAGAGACTCGGGTGGGGAGGGTAGAGAGAGGCGGTGCTTGCTCAGCATGCGCACAAAGGTACTGAAATGTGAACTTCTGGCTTCTTTTATCTGATCATACAGGTGGTTCAGCAAGAGGTGAGGAAGGCAGGTCAGAGAGAGGGCACCATCCCACGACTGTGCGTGTGTGCGCTGCTGCAGATGGAGCCTATTGTGAAGTGAAACCTGGAAGTTCTTTGAAAACTCCTCAATTATTTTATGAGGAATATAATTACATTGCTTTATGTGTATATTAAATTTGCCAATTTGTTAAATGACAATATTTAATATATGTGTCCTGATTTGTCACTTTATGTGCATATACCTGGAGGCTCAAAATAAAGGAAAGTAAAAAATAGAAAAAATTCCAGGTCTCTGTCTGAGAGAGGCCCTGAGGAAAGAGAGGAGAACAAGGGGCAAGAACTGATAAAGTAAGAACAGAATAGGTGTATCTTTCGTGTGGGCCTGAGGAGAAGTGGTCTGTGTTCCTTCATGGTCTTTTTGCTCTCTTTGTTTCTCCCTGCAATAAATAAAGTGTTCCTCACTTCCCGTTGCCCAGCTCTGCCCTGGTTAGCTTACGTGGATTACCGTGTGCAGAGGAACTTGACTCCACAGAGGTTCCAAAGGCTCTTTAAGAAGTTCTGAAGGATAGAGCACGTTGACATTCCTCTCCAGATATGCACAGCTATTCAGCAAACAGCTCTGCCCACGACTTTCCCCAGAGACCATTTGGATGATGAGCTGGCGCTGTTCCCATTGACTCTTCTGTCCCAAATGTTTCATAGAAACGCTTGACTAGTTGAGAAACTTGAGCTTCTAATCCCAGCTCTGCTGTGCACCAGCTGAGTCGCTGGGTTTTTCCCCCTCTGAAAATACAAGGATTCAGTGAGACAGTCTAAAAGATGTTCTGTGGATCTAAACATTAGGATCCTGTGGTTTTCATCATCTTCTCTGCCGGTATTCATACTTAAAGATGCTATGTGAGTCAGGGTTGTGTGTCTGGAGGAACACAACCCGTCTAATGGACACATACCCTTAAGTGGGCTTATACCATAGGGGCTAGGTAGCCCAGTAATGCCTGTCTGCATGCTGGAAAGGTTGGGAACTGCTGGCTGCTCAGTCCATGGGACTAGATGCCTCAGGAATCCAAATCTAGAGTCTAGAAGCTTCCTGGAGAGTTCCAAGTTCCCCCTTAGGCTTCAGTTCATGTTGAAACCCAAACAAGCTCTCTAACATCAACTGAGAGTGAATAACAGCAACGGAGACTGACATTCCCCAAAAACCAGTGGGAAGGAAGCAAATCCCCACAGCCAGGCCCTCCACAGATGGGCCAGTGTGAAGGTGCCACACACTCCCGGGAAGGGGCCTTTCACTCTACTAATCCTTCATGAAAAGAACCCAACAGATAGATGCACTTCTCTTAACTGAGTCCACATCCAATCAGGTTGACCATCCGAACTAATCCTCACAGATGCAAAAGCCTGATCCTAGGTGTTCTGATGTGGGAGTATCCTGTGTCAACATTTCTGAGACAAACTCACATCTAGACAAATGTAGACTCCTTCTTTTTCTGAATACATCAGAAGCCTGTTTACACTTGGTATGTCAGTACAGAGGAAGTAGGTCTGTGGGAGAATTGTAGAACACATGCAAACTTGTGAGTATTATAAAACCTATGCAAATTTCTCATCAGAACCCAACCCTTCTCTAGGTTATCATGATGAGAGTTTTGCAAGTCTGAAGCTGGCCCTGGCCTCTATCTGGGGATTAGGATGGCTTGTCTAGACACACTTGGTCATATCGCACTGGGGCTTCTTGGAAGAATCGACCAGCTGTGCATCTTTGCACTAGAATGTGACTCTAGTCAGAATGGCTCAAGCTATATTCCTGGAGAAGCAGATTTTGTTGACTAGAAGACATAAAAATAAGACCAAATCTGGCAGAGGAGTCACTCGGAACAGTGATTAATAAGAAGTAGGAAATTATATTGTAGCTACATATCTCTGTGAATGTGTGCTGCCCATAGTAATATCCAAGGCAAATGTTTTGGATGTTGAATTGGCTCATGAATGCAGCTATCAAGAGGGTGATTACAGCATGATTCTTAGAGAATGCACGTATTTAAAAGACAAAGGTAGTTTCTTCTGAATGAATGATGAAAATGTGCTGATTACCAACACATTACCTTTAAAAAAGGGTGAAGGAAATTTGTTCAGAAGAAATCTGATCCACTTTAAGCAAACTATGTCTTGTTGAAGAGGGAAACAGAATAACTATATTTATTAATATTCTACATAATCTTTTTAACATTTTCTTGGCCAGTATTCACTGTTGACAGAGACAAGAGAAGCTGTTTGCATCCAACACACCATACTCTTGGTTTGGTTTCTTTCTCATTAGCAAGCTGGGAGAAGACAGCATACTTCTTTTATAAATATGACACAAAAACTCCTGCACCAGGGACTAGCTGTAGTCTTTCAGATCTAAAGAATTAATCAGGCCCTTTATTTTTTCTCGCTTATTCTCCCTATAGAATATCACTGTGCATATCACGACTGGTAATCAATAATATTTAATGATGATTATATTAGCAACATTAATAACAGATTTTAATTCTTTTTGCAGCTAAATCAATTCCCTTGTGCAAAAAAGAAATTATTTGTAATTGCACATTGACTCACAAAATTTTCCAATTATTTCAGTACAGACTTTTCATACTTCCACAGAGACACAGTAAATAAATAAGGCCTCTGAATGTGACAAACAGGCTGTCCTCTCTCAGTTCCTATGGACAGTGTTCTTTGATATTAGTCATAAGCTTAGCAGGGCTAAGGGTTTGACTCTTCACTGGACAAGTTCAACAAAAAGCTTCTCCAGCAGCATTCAGCAGCCACACATCTTGATGTTTCCTGTCTAGTATTTGGATAATCCTGGCCTGTGTTTCTAGCTTTTCTTTGGGTCTATCCAGAGTATTGTCTCTGTGTTTATCAAGATCCCAATACAGTAAACAAAATGCACACTGCCTATTTGTGAAGGAGTCCTTCCAAGTGTGACTTGGCCACTAGCTTTACATCTTGCAACCCAGAACTCTCAGAATCCTTGACTTCTAGGCTCTGGCTGGAAGAGAGCAGCGGCAGACGTGGAGGAGTGCTGTTCTGTCAGCTTAGGCGGTGGCTCTTTACTTATGCAAGTGCAGGAATTAGTCACATGACTCCACCAAGCTCTGAGAGGGCAGAACAACCCCAGCAGAGCTCATGGACTTTGGGAGTACTTACGTTCTCAACTTAGCTTAAGAAAAATGGGAGCAATGTGGGTTTAGTCGGGAAAGGGGAGTACTCAATAACACAAAAATAAAACAGAGCAACATTTGTGGTGGTATTGTGTTCCCCAAAATATTGTGCACCCTAATAAACTTATCTGGGGTCAGAGAACAGACAGCCACTAAATGCAAAGGCTAGAAAATGGTGGCACTCACACCTTTAATCCTAGCATTCCAGAGTCAGAAATCCCTCTGGATATCTGTGAGTTCAAGGCCACATTGGAAACAGCCAGCCATGGTGACTCATGCCTTTAATCCCAGGGAGTGGTGGTAGAAAGCAGAAAGGTTTATAAGGCGTGAGAACCAGAAACTAGAAGCATTTGGCTGGTTAAGCTTTCAGGCTTCTATCAGCAGTTCAGCTGAGAGCCATTCAGATATGAGGACACAGAAACTTCCAGTCTGAGGAAACAAGACCAGCTGAGAAGTTGGCCAGGTGAGGTTAGCTGTGGCTTGTTCTGGTACTCTGACCTTCCAGCATTTACCCCAATAACTGGCCTTGGGTTTGATCTTATTAATAAGAACTGTTAAGATTCATGCTACAAACATTTCTGATGTTACCAAACTTTCACCTTTACAATAGCAAATACTCAGAATCTTTCTAAGTTTCTAACCAACTGTTTTTGCTCCCTCAAGTCCCTTGTTGACCTAATGGAGACATGTCAGTTTAGGAGCCTGCAACAGCCCCTATCCCTCACTGGTTGGTTGACAGGGCTCCTGGAGACAATATTATTTTGCCACAGGGGACTTTGCCACAGCACACAGATATCACCAGGCAGCAGCAGGCAGTGCAGAACTCTTCCTTGATTCGCTGTGCCCAGGCAGCTGGTGTGGAAGAACTAGTCCTGGATCTGTTGTCTCTGGAGGAAATAACCTCTCTCTTCCTCAAGAAGCAGAACAAAAAGCCAAAAACAGCTTTCTGGTTTGGGTGAGGGTAAATTCTAATGCCCCATGTTTGAGGTTTATTCCTTTCCCACACTCATTCAGTGCAGGAGTTCTGCTGAGGCAGCCTCTGGGTGTTCTTAGGACTCCGGTGCTTTCAGTGTGAGGAGCCCAGGTTACAGTGTAGGGTCAGCTCCACGCAGATCATCCCGACAGGAGCTGTGTCTGAAAAGATCTCACTGGGATGTCTGTGGGTCTGGAGCATGTGCCTCATTTCCACCTGTATCTTACTGGCTGAACAGGTGATATGACCAGATCCATTGTAGGGAAAGTGGAAATGTTCTCTAGCAGGAAAAACAACCTACAAAAACAAAGTCAGACAGACCAGGTGGTGTCTGGTCACCACAGCCATACTGAATAAATAGACACAGTATTTAAACATTAGACAGGCATTCCCAGAACACATAACACATCAAGGGGAACTTGAAACTTTTATTCTTTCTATACAGACATATATTTTATTTATAGCTGTTGATTCTTTCCTAAAAGCTTCCACACATGGGGTGATAGGGACAGAAAAGAAGTACAATTTTGTTCATCTAAATGTTGCAATCCTCCAGTTGGCTTCTATTGTGATTTGAGTTGGTTTTCTCCTTCCAAAACTTCATCTCTTGGGGCTTGGCCTGTGGATAGCTCTGTTAGTCAGGGTTCTCTAGAGTCTCAGAACCTACGGAATGAATCTTTCTCTATCATCTATCCTATCTATCCTGTCTGTCTATCTATCTATCTATCTATCTATCTATCTATCTATCTATCTATCTATCTATCTATTGGAATTTATTGGAATGACTTACAGGCTGCAGTCCAACAATGGCTAGTTGTGAATAGTCCAGGAATCTAGTAGCTGCTCAGTCCCACAAGGCTGGGTATCTCAGCTGATCTTCTGCATATGCTGGAATCCCAAGAAGTGGGCTCCAATGCCAGTGAAGGAATGAATGTGCTGGCCAGGCAAGAGCAAGCAGGCAAAGAATGAACACTTCCTCCTTCCATTGTCCTTCTATAGGCTTCCAGCAGATGGTATGTCCCAGATTAAATGTGCCTTCAAGCCAGGTCTGGATTAAGGGCCTGTGTCTTCAGCCTCAAGATGGGGATCAAAGGCATGCTGTCTTCTTGCCTCAAGATCCAGATCACAAGTGTGCCTCCATTTTGTTGTAGTTCATTCCAGATATAGTCAAGTTGACCACCAAGAACAGCAAGCACAATGGCAATACTGGAAGGGGATGGGATCTTGAAGAGGCAAGGTATGGTGAGAGATTGTCATCAAGTAGGGACATGGCCTCAGTTGTTCAGGTACTTCCTGTGGCTCCTTCTCCTTAGAGAACTGTTGTAAAAGCCTCCGCGGCACCCACACCTCTCCCCAGCACCCACACCTCTCCCCACCCCTAGGCCCTCACTCTTTCTTCTCTGCCCACGTCCTTCCTTTCTTCCCCTTCCTTGGCATATGTCATTCCCATCTACCATGGCTCAAAACAGATAAGACAGCCTTTACCAGAATGAGCTGAGCCAGCATCACTGAATGATGAAATCCAGCCAAATAAGTACTTCATTATAACAATGAAAATTAACTAATATATTAAATTTGATATGGTTGCCAGCAATATTGTATTG